ACTGATCTATTTATAGGTCACAGACGTGAGCCATACCTATGATTTTTATTAAACCATCCACATGGTTGCATGTTTAAAACATTTTAATTTGCCGTCGAGTCTTTCTACAGGATCGCCACGAGTCACTACTACACAGTGTGAAATCAATTTTCTAGAAAAGGGAGAGAACTCATTTGCTTCCTCTTTACATCCCAGCCTGGTGCCAGATTACACGAGGACAGCACGCTCATCCTCAACCTGTGAACTAAAGTACGAGTGCATTTGCATCGCTATCTTGTGATAGTGTAAGCTTTAACAACCGACTCGACCTTCATCGCAACACAAGAACCGGATAATGTTCCGATCCGTCCGAGTCTTTGTCTCTTTCTAGAAAAGTTGTTGCTGCTTCATTTATTCCGGTTTCCTTGATAAGTCACAGATACCATATATATGCAACCCCACCGGCCTGGAGTGTAGTTAAGTGAACGGCGAGCAAACGAAGGCATTCATGTAGCAGCTCCTCAAAATATCATCCGTTTTTAAAGTTTAGTGCATTTACTACCTGCAAGTATTTGTTGGTCTGTAAATTATTGGGCGACTTTCGGGGATTCCAGATTCACCCACAATGAGTTTTAAGAGTTTTCTGTGCTGTTTGTACAGCGGTGACTCGATGATCCGACACTAAATGTAAAACCTTCTTCTATGTCGGATAGCAAGGCTGTCGGATTGTCCAGACGGAGGTCCAGATACGAGGAGGGCTTGATGCTGGAAGGCTCATTAGTTGTTCATTATGGTTCATAGTTGTTATAATAACTAGTAGGGCTGGTCCCAATAGAACTTTCTGCTCTCTGGATATTTGGACCCAATTAATGAATATTCAGCACTGTCAGGGGGACACTTCCACCCCGGGGCAGCGCTCTGACGGGGTGGAAGTGTCCAGAACACACAGGCAGTACTTGGCTGCTGATGCTAGTTTAGTTAGCGCTCACACTTCTGTTTCCTCCATCGGTTGGTTTTCTTTTCTCTATTTTGTGTTTGTTCATTGTGTTGCTGAGCTTCAGATGAGATGAAGTGTAAAAGTTCTGTCTTCTTTTCTGAGGGTGTGCTCTCATTTTACAACAACGGTATAAAATCAGATGTCGTTTTATTATTTCTACAAGTTCCATATAGAGATAACTGATCAATGATGCCTGAACACAGCGTCAGCATGCGGTCTGTACCTGCTCATAAAACTCATTGACGATGCCTTCTGTCCACTTGAGGTGCAAGTCACGGACTTTAGCCGGCCCGTTGATGTCTGCCAGCTTGATACACACTTGGCACACCAGCAGTCTGTCGTTCTCATTGGTCCAATCAATTCCTGGACTGTTCACATCGTTCACCTGTTGGCAAAGAAAAAAAAAGACGGATGCCTTACATCAGAGCTAGTCCACTGGTTTGTCCTGCATTCACTCTGCTGCTTACTGCTCAGCCACATCTAAACGCTGCTTCCTCTCGATGCTCGAGTCAATATTTTGCAAGAAATGAAAGCATCTCATACCTTGGAATTGAACTCAGCCAGGAAGTCAAAGTGCTTCTTGAGGTCTGTGGCCAGTATCGCCTCGATGACAAGGAAGCGAAAACGCTTGAACTCCACGTGATCCAGGTTGACCAGGAAGTTGAACTCAGGCTGGGACAGGTAGAGGCTCCATGCGGACGCAGCGTGGTGGTTCTCCAGCACTGAGCGGTCGTTGTACAGCACCGCCTACGCCCAAAAAAAACAAAAACAAAGTGGTGAGAGAGGAAAGATGACACGCTAAGAAGATTCCCACAATTTCCTGTAAAATGATAAATTTGCTTACATAATGCCTCCGCGTATGAGTTACACAATTTGTATTGGATTTAAAAATAGCAAGCACTCAATAAATGAGGTAAAAAGGACACGAGGGTATTTGGTTATGAAATCAGAAATATGACAAACGTATAGCTGAGGGGAGCGACGGGTTAAAAGCAGCGACAGGGACGTCAGATACGAAGAAAGACTTAAGATCCATTCAGCAAACACTACGGTTGTCAACATCATTAGCGATCAATAGGTTCAGGGTTCCCTTTCCCTTCTTTTAACCCACTTTTCCTGGGACAAGACCCAGACAGTGTAAGTGCTATCGCCGGACATGTTGTGAAAGTGCAATATTTAAACTGGGGCAAGTGGTTAACCGTTTCATCCCTCCTGGGATCAGCTACTCCTACAGATCATCTCCACGTGAGGCTGTAGAGACGACACCAAAAGTCTGTGTTCATATCAATCGAGCAGAAAACGGCTTTGTGTTATGAAGCATGTAAAGAAAATGATATAAGGACGGTGTTGACTCAAGTTAAAGATTAACCGTCACACTGCAGACATCAGAACTATGTGAGTCCGCCTGAATGACAGTCAGGTCAATTATGAGAATATGAAATGTTTAGAAGTTATAAATAACTGCTTGTGTCATTTAGTTTGTCTGTTTTAAAAATTAGGTTTAAAAAAAATAAAAAACAGTCCTGCAGCAGCCACTAGGGGCGCCCTGGCCGGACATGTGATTTTGCATATATACACAGAATTGATCAGCGGCCCAGACACCACCAGAGCTGATATTTGCTCTTCGTCTGTTGTTGTTCAGAGAAAATAATTCCTGTTAGGAGGCACGTTTTGACCAAAATCTGACCTCCTGTTTCTGAGCGGATAACTGAAAGAACAGACGGCTGGATGGATGGTGACACTTATAATCCATGAAGAATGCTGCTAGTTTTATTATTATTATTTCTAGAAAAAGCTTTGACCAGCAAGTCGGAGAAGATTTACAGATAGATAAAGTAAAAACTGTTTAGTATGAAGGCAGCAAACGTCTTGTTCGTCTTGTTTTTATCTTGCACAGTTTGTTAATTTATAGTCGTTCTTTGCACCCAATGTCATACTTTTTTTTGGTATAATGAGATTGAAGGATTCTGAGCGGGTTTGAAAAGCACTACAACAGGGTTTTCCACACAAGTACAAGAAATAAAGACACTCTGGTTTGATTCCCTCCTCAACACTCGCAGTAGACGCTGCCGGTTACCTGAGGTGCATTAGTGGCTACTAGAAAGGCATTTGTGCGACCGGGATGGTCATAGTCGTGCATTGCAGCTGCTACATAAAGGGCCATGAGCTCCAGGGCAGGTATGTTCCAGGCCAGACAGCCGTAGCTGTCGTCTGAAATGGAGGAGCTCTTGGAGGAGGCGTAGGATATCCTGCCTGGAGAGATTCCACTGTCCGAATCTGGAACACAAGAGAAGACGACGGACGGCGATGAGTGTCGCAGAAACAAGCTGCTGCGAAATCAGGCTACAGCTGGAGCTCTTCTGCAATTAGGCAAAACCACACAGAGAAAGAGTGCTGAATATGGTCACACACACACACACACACACACACACACACACACACACACTAGTTGTTCACATTACTCATACTTTCTCAGCTCCTCTCTCATCATACGACGGCTGTCCTGGCAGCCTGAGCACCAGGCGTCAGTGGATAAGCGTCAAATCATTTCTAAAGAGCTGTAACATCAGGATTCGCTGCGTTTTAAACCAAACTATCTGCACACTTTAACTATTTCCAGCGTGATTAGTCTCCATCTCAGTAGGTGGCTGCATTTCTTTCCTCGAAGGTATGATTTCTTGCCAAAACACGTTTCCATCCATCCAATAAAGTGACGTCAGCCACAAGATGTTCATTAGGACCGGCGCACCAAAACCTCGCTAACGAGTTAAAGATGATCGTTTCCACGCTCGCCAGATTTTTATACTCTGAGGAAACCACGGGGACTAACCGGCATCCATTAGGAAGGACGCCGTGTGCAGGCTGAATAAACGTCTGAACGAAGCGGCGATCTGTGACTGGCGGCGTTTACCTGTGTCGCTCCCCGTCACGTGCTCACTGTGGATCTGCTGGAACCCAGGGATTGGTCGAGTGGTCAGGTACCAAACAGCGTGGAGCACATCAGTAGCATGGACCCGGTTGTGATCTGTGGGTTTGAAATTCCATCTATTTCACCACGTCTGCTTGCAACAATTCTGATTTACGGTTAACTAAAAGCTGAATCGTAGCTTTGCCACAGAGTCAAACGGTCCAATAAGGACACAACCACCCTCCAGCAACACACTGAGTGAAAATCTGTGAAGCGTGACACTCACAGGGAATGTCTCTGTAGCCGTTCTCCAGAGCACAGAAGTACGTCATGAACTCCTTCACGGGGATCTTGAAAATTTCAAACAGACACATGTCCTGGAAGAGGGTGTACGTCACCTGGAGAGACACAAGCAGGCGTTAGCGAGACACCGATCAGAGCAGGAGATGATCAGCCGATCCACGGAACGATTCAGCTCAACGTTAAATATATCAATATGCATGCAGGAAGTTCACAGTTTGTAACTCAAGAGCTGGACGTTTACATTTGTGGTGTGGTATCGCTGTGTCTCTGTTAGAGATCCAAGTTATTTATTTTAAATCAGAAAGATTCATGCAGAGTGGATGGATATGGACAGCTACGGGAAACGTCTGGTTTGTGATTTCTGTACTCACATAGCTCAGGATCCTTCCGGTCTTCCCTCCCGTCTTGTCCACCAGGTCAAAGATCTGGAAGTTCCAGGTGTTCATCCTCTCCATGAGGTCCTCGTGGTCCTCCAGCATCGGATCTAACCTGAACTCCTGCTCGCCCTGGAGACAATGACCAAAAGCACAGGCTGTATAGACGAGCACATTTGAACTGAAGCTGATTTCTAAAACTTTCTTTACATCTACAAGCAAACAGACTGGTGTTTAAACAGATATAACAGCTGAAATAACATTAAAACATACATTATACGAGGACAATTATAATCACATATGTATTTTCTGTAACCAGACCAGTCACAACAGCCAGATCTCATCTTCTGTAAAACAATCGGCTGCTTCACATTTCAGAGGAATCAACAAAAGCCCTTTTCTGTATGAATGTGAAGCAAATGGCAGCTTAGATTAATCATCGTCTATTTGGGGAAACCAAAATGATGCTAATTATACAATTAAATAAACTGGTTGCAGGTTTGTGCCAACTTTGACCGAAGCAGAGCTGTCGAAGTGTTGATGAATAACAAACTGGATCTCCGTGTTCACACGCTGCAAGCAGTAAAAATGATGAACTAAATGTGTGACACATGACTGCAGGAAGTGGGGCTGAAGACGCTGCTCGGTTTAAGTCGACAGCATCCATCTGATGATCACCTCTGATCCCTGAGTCTGCTGCTCTGTGCTCTTCTCCTTGTCTTCGTCCGCCAGCCCCTGGCTTCCTCCGACGTCCGGCTTCCCGTCTCCGGACACGTCCGCCTCCACGCTCTCCTCCCTGATCAGGGGTTCCCCCGGGAAGTCCAGTCCTTCGCCTGCTTCATGCAAACACACATACGACTCGATGTAAAACCATCAACGATGGACAAACAGACGTGTACTGTCCGTTATCATTTTACTGTTTCTGTGCTGAAACGCTAAAATTCAGAAGCTCTTTCTTTTGAATTAATTCAGATGTTTTTCTTTTTGTTTAGTCAAGATTTTTTTACTTTTGCTCTTTTTTAAACTTGCTTCAAGCTGATTGTAAAGTGAACCTCAACCTGGTAGCTGAAAACACACAGCAGCTAATTTTGAGTTTATACACCGAAAAAAAACCCCACACATCGAGCAAAAAGTTCATTCTTTCTGCGTGTGTCATCGTCTGGGTGAGAATCAACCTGCATTATCGCTGGAGTCCAGCAGAGAGCAGCATTAACCCCTTGAACTGCTTCCAAACCCCAACGCCACAGCGCTCGTCATGACTGTCCTCCATGACGGTGTCATGATGTGAAATAAATCCTGTGTACCTGAGCGCCGGCGCTGAGCCTCGCTGGTGAACGGTTGATGGGATTCTCCTGCATCGCCGCCGGAGACTCCCTTGAGCATCTGACGCCCACAGCTAGGACGGACAGGCGAGAATACGTGACCAATTGCATGATTTAAACGTTACAATCAGAAGTGAGTGAGGAGCAGCGACGGGTCGGCGGGTCTCACCTGGTGCAGAGAGGTAAGGTGGAGCTACGGAAGGCCTGCTGGAAATCTGGCGAGCTGAGCGTGTAGCCCAAGGGCTTGTGCAGGTTCAGATTGACACTCGGCTTTGTCAGGAAGTCAGCCGTGTCCGGGAACTCCACGGGGGACCGAGTGACGAGGGACGATGAAGAACCTGTACTGACTGCAGGGGGGCTGTGGCTTGGTGAGGTGACGGGGCTCAGGCTGGGAGATGTGCCTGCAGAGGACCAGCACCGGGTCAGAACAACAGCAATCAACCAACATACGGTGAGTTTGGGGGAGTTTATGGTCAAGTCTCACCTGCTCTCCTGGGCCCCGCGTGGTACGTGAGGGTAACAGAGGACGACCTCTGCTTGGGAATGGTCAGCAAGTTTGCATTGGGCCCATTGGACAAACCTGAGCTGGAGCACCAAACAGAGACATCAGGCAGTAAAGAACATGTTCTAACTCTTACCAAACTTTTTTTTTTTCATAACAAGGAACAGCTGTCTCATCTGGTGAACGAACCACCATAATCCAGGGCTGCACCACATTTTGCCAATTATCTGACACCTCGCAAAGTGGAACAACATGATGATGTTAAAGTCAGAGAAGCTCCGTGGCCTCCATAGCTAGTCCTCTCCTGCCACCCTGTGGACACTCGCTGTATAGACACTCAACATGGTGTAATGAATGTATGGACAAAGAAACCTCAGTTCCCCTCAAAGCACGTGAACAACAGGTAACGTTGTAATAATGCAAAGTTTAAAATGCAGTTTTTACTCTGAGTAGAGACAACACGGTGACTTTATCCCTCCTGCTTTAGGTTTCTGTCCAGCTGCTGAGAAATGAAGACAAAGTGCCAAAAACTGCAGGTCCTTCAAGGGTCACTTGAGGTCGAGTCTAAAAGTAAGTCATCGACCCGCATGTTCAAACTTTATGTCAAAAATAAACATCTCTACAGTCTGGTACACGGAGCAGCTACTTTATAGTTTATGACAACTGTACAGAGGCTGAATCTTCATATAACTCATCCATTTACATCATCCATC